CGCTCCTGGCCCTGGGTGGGGACATGCATTGCCCCGTTTGCTTTCTATACATCCACCTGGCCCCCGGCCCACCCCCATGCCCTGAGCCCCCTCACCTTGACAGCATCAAGGCCCCGGTTCCTGGGGCCATGGCGTTTCTCCTCCTCCAGTTCAGGCGTGCTCATCCGCTCCACAGCCGGCGGCTCCCGTGGGCCATCCCTTTTGAGTCTCTGCACAGGCATGGGGGGGCTGCGTGGTCCTGGCTGGACATGGAGCAGCCCCACGCCTCCGTGCCCAGCCTGCTCCCTCCGTGCCCAGCCTGCTGGTGGAGGTGGCTCTGGGCACAGCTCACAGCTCGCTGCTGAGGTCTACAGGATGCCCAGTAGCCCCTGGGCTTGTCCTTGCCCACCTGCCCTACTTGGCAAGCTGGGCACCTGCCTGCTGCTCAGCTCTGCCCCATGGGCGAGAGCTCCCAGATTGGGAACCTGATGTCCCTGAGAGCCCTTGGCCACTTTGCTGCATCCCCTGGGATGTGAAGTGCCAGCCTCCTCACTTCTGAGTCCCTAAGGATGGGCACAGTGCAAGGCGGGTCCCTGCTGCAGCCTGGGCAGGTTCCCCTTACGGACCCACCTTCTCCTCCTCCTCCGCCAGCTTCTGCTCGATGAGTTCCTTGGCCCGTTCCACGTCCAGCTCCATGTCTACCCACAGTGCACAGCCCCGTGCAGAATGTGGCCTCTCCTCCTTGCCACCACAGGCAGGGAGCACCCAGTGCTGGGTCCTGGTGGGTCTGCTGGCCACGGGGCTTTATGCTGCTGTCCCCTCCGTCCGGCAGCCCAAGGGCACTGACAGCTGTGGCTGCTCCACATGACTGGGGCAGCTCACCCTCCTGCTTTCTGGCGGCCCTGGCTCACCTCCCCAGCCCCTCCCCCTCTTAAAGAGACCCATTGACCCCCTCGGGCTGCCCAGGACCCCCGCGCTGCGTGCGGGGAGCTGGGGTGCACACGGCTTGTGGCAGCTGGTCCACAGAGGCTCAGCACAGCAGGGACACAGTCTGGGATTGCCCCATGGGTCCTGTGCCACCCACTCTGGGTGGCCAGGATGCTCCCCTGCTGTCCCCCTATCCCCATGCAAGCAGATGCTGCAGCACCCACCAGCATCTCCCAGGACTCCCTGACACCCAGGGGTGTTGCTGCCCAACACAAAAGAAAGCGACAGGCCCCCCAAACCTCTCAGCCAGCAGCATGTGACGCCAGGAGCCACAGTCCCCCCACACCGCTTTGGAGGATGACCTCACGTGCGGAGCATCCTGAGCAGTCTTGCTAGGGTCCTGGTGGCTGCCTGTCCCCTCCTGCCACACACGGGCAGCCTGGCGTCAGCCTCACATGCCCGGCGGGCAGAGCCAGCAGCTATTCCGTGCAGCGGGGACATTGTTCAGCCCCCCAGGCTTTGCTCTCCCACTTTGTAAGATGAGGCCAGCACTGCCCTGTGATGGAACAGTTAATGCGCTGGGCACCGGCCCCAGCACAGGACCTGGGGGAATGACAGTGGGGACACATCACTGTCACACTCCTGGACAGTTGCCAGGGACACCTGTGGGTGCCCTGTCCCATGGGTGCCACAGCCTCAGGCTGCAGAAAGGTGCCATTTTCACTAGGAGAGGTGACAGTGGCCACAAAGGTGGTCCTGGGATTGTTCCCCTCCTCCATGGACTGTACTGCCTGGCCCCAGGGTAGGCACAGGCTGAAACCTCTGGAGGGGAGTAATGGGAAAGGGAGGCAGTGGCCCCACACCAGCAAGCAGGCAGGATGGCAATAGGATGATGGTGGCAGTGCCAGGGAAGGGTCCAGACAGGCAAGGAGCCAGGGCTGGTGGGACAGGGTCAGGATGGCACCAGGATGATGGTAGCAGTGCCAGGGAAGGGGCCAGACAGGCAAGGAGCCAGGGCTGGCGGGACAGGGGCAGG